GAATTTTCTGTTCATCAAAGAATCCTGAAAAACATTTGTGATTTCCACAGAAATATTAAGATGCACAACTGTTTTCAACATTGATCATAATAAGAAATGTTTCCACCACCAAATCAGCATATTAGAATGATTTCTAAAGGATCATGTGGCACTGAAGACTGGAGTAATGGCTGCTAAAAATACATTTTTGCACTCACAGGAATACATTACATTCTAAAATGTATTCAAAATAGAAAACAGCTGTTTTGAATTGTGATAAAAATTTAAATAATGCAATGATTAAAAAATGGATTCCCTCCAATTCAAAAAATATTTTCACTAGTGGTCTCAGACCTTTGGTCCTCACTGTATATGAAATATCTTGTATCCTTAGGCAATGAAAGCAATTTTTTAGGTACTCATGAATTTTTGTTTTGCTGATATGTTTTTATTTCTTCTTGTAAAAAAGAGAAATACCCCAGGAGTGTGTAGTTTGGCAGCTTTCAGTAGTCTTTTATTTGGATGAACGGCTGTTGCAACATACCATAAATCACATTGCACAAGCAAAGACTGATACTTTAGGCTATAACAACACTCCTCTTAAAGCTACTCACCTCCATTTTCTTTTCTTTTTGTTGACTTGCAAAATCGATTTCATGTGTGAATTGTGATAACCACAAATGAGTGTTTGCTCTCGTTTCCTACAAGCTGAAACGATGCATTCATTATCAAGCCCAGGCCTATGGGAGTGCAATGTGACGCTATGTTACCTCCATTTGTCAGGTTTTCAACATGAAACCCAGCGGTGGGAAGAAGGGAGGGAGAAACACATTCTTTTGTCTACCTTAGGCCTAAGTGCATTTTTCTTGACACTGTGTTCAGTATGAATCATTTACTATACAGATGAACCCAATAGGCACCACTCTCGCGCAATGTCTCCCATGCTTCACTTGGTGCAGAGGACGACCATTCTTTCCCTGACTGACAGCAGCTGTGCGTTTGTGATGTAATATTCATAATGTGTCACATAGTAATACATCAATTTGAGCATAATGCAGATTTTATGTCTGACAGGGTTAGGCGAGCTCTCAGGTCATAGTAGGACTGGCCTTGGGCTATACACTTCTCAGACTGCGCCCTAAGAACAAAAGAATAAATAAAATAAAAAAATGCAACCCGCTTCATAACACGCTGAAATATAGCATGCCTCTTTGCGCTCTTTCAATTAGTCAAATGAAATGAACAGGCGTAAGTACACTCGGCTCATTCATCATTGTTTACTTCTGGGGCTCGAGAAGGTTTTTTCATTTCTCCCTTTAGCTGAAGATGTACTGCTCTCGACACAGCGACAGCCTTCTGCGGTAAAGGATGTATGTCCTGTCTCTCTGGAATGCTCTCCAGCCCATGCTGTCTGTGATTGCATGTTTGTCTCTTGACATCATGACGTGTGTGTGGGCTTAAATATCTGTGTTTGCTGAAGATCAGAAAGCTTAGGGCCAGTTTTGCCTGGGGTGCTTTAAACAACACTTGCTGCAGAGCTGCTCCAACCATCTGTTAGATCAGCACAAACACTTTCACAATCATCAGGAAAACACCTGCATATTTCCCGCTAACAGTCGCTGTTATTATGTTTGTTTGTAATTGAATCATAACAGTAAACAAAGTATACCACACCACACTGCTCCCAGTCACTCCAGAGGAATTTGTTACATAAAGTTAATAGCTGTTTTGCTAAGGCAAGTATGACTCTTACTTTTGCACATGGTTAGAGTTAGGGATTTAAACAAAATAACTTTTAAGTATATATACAGAGAGAAAGAGAGAGAGATTTTCAGTGTTTTTGAAAGAGGTCTTTAATGCTCGCCAAGGTTGCATTTATTTGATCAAAAATACAAGTAATATTGTGAAATATTATTACAATTTAAACCAGCTTTTTTTTCTATTTTTATATATTCAAAATGTATTTTATTCCTGTTATAGTAAAGCTGAATTTTCATTACTCCAGTCTTCAGTGTGACATGATTCTTCAGAAACCATTATGCTGATTAATTATCAAAGTTCTTTGTCTTTTTTCTTAAAGAAATTAATACTTTTTTTAGCAAAATTTTTCATTAATAAAAAAGTGATAGCAAATACTTATTGTTACAAAATATTTCTGTTTTGAATAAATGTTCTTTTTTTAACTTTTTATTTATCATTGAATCCTGCACGAAGCACACACAGACACACACACACACACACACACGGTGGGTGTATTATTATATGTAAATTATTATTAATTATTAAAATAAATAAATTAAATAAACAATGAATTTATATTAAGTTACATTAATACATGACCTAACTAAAAAAATAATAATTTTGACATGTTTTCTTAAAGGGGTGGTTGATTGAGATTTCACTTTTTTAACGTTAGTTAGTGTGTAATGTTGCTGTTTGAGCATAAACAATATCTGCAAAGTTATGAAGCTGAAAGTTCAATGCAAACGGAGATATCGTCTTTTAAATTCTGGCAGTTTAATGCCTACAAAAACTGCTGGTAGGGACTACAACAAGTTACTTCCCGGGTTTGTGATGTCACAAACCCAGACAAACCCCACCCTCGGGAAAAGGCAGCAAAGGGGGCGAGGCCATGCTGCGCTGCTTTAGAGAAGAGGAAGAGAAAACTAGAGATGCACGTAAAAATCTATTCATATATGAATCGCGATTCTGTCTTCTAACGATTCTAATGGATTCACAAGTTTCAAAATCAATTTTCTAAAGCAGAGGTTCTTAATACTGTTCCTCGCGTTCCTTTGCTCTGCACATGCTCTGCCTCTCTCTCTCTCTCTCTCTCTCTCATTCAGCTCAGCTCCAACAATGAACTGTTCCAATTATACATTTCTCTCTCACTCTCTCTCTCTCTCTCATTCAGCTCAGCTCCAACAATGAACTGTTCCAATTATACATTTATTTTCACATAGCTATGAGAAGTGTTAAACATGGATGTGCATGCAGTTGCCGTACTGTATTAAAGCTTTAATCAGGATAAAACCGTATATTAAAAGCTAACATAAGCAGTAGCATTTACAAATAACAGCATATCTAAAAGTATGAGACAACGACAAACAAAAAACATAGGCCTACCATTAAAAGCTGTGCTTGCACAGGTTCTGCACGATCCTCTTCAATAATATGCTCTTCTTCTCAACTGGGCTCAAACTGATAAGCGATATTAACGACGCCTTGTTTACAATACAACCAGAGCACATGCTGCTGAGGTGAGGGGCGGGACGTTTAGACTCGCGCTAGAGGTGGTTTAGCCAATCACAACACACTGGGCTAGCTAACCAATCAGAGCCCATCGCCTATTTCTGAGGTCGGGGCTTCATAAAAGCAGGAAATGATCAGCGCGTTTCTCAGAGAATGGACAGAGCGGTGAGGAATAAAGGTAAATTATGTGAAAAATAATGCGTTTTTTTTTTTTTTAAACGAAGCATTAACACATGTTAGACTGCACCCCATAAACACAATCAAGCCTAGAAAAAAAAACAGTGAACCACCCCTTTACATTTTTTTTTTAAATAATAGCAACACCCTCGCAACCATCCCAACATCTGCCAAGTAACACTTCATCAGTCTTCTTCAGAATATGTAGAAAATCTCAATTGCTATATTGTTGTTATTGTAAATTCTAATTTGCAAAAACAGTGTTCAAATGCACAAGATACACACTGGGGTGTTTATGCAAATGGGGTTTAACTGAATAGATGCAATGGAAAACACATCCCCGCATGTTTTTGATTCAGGCTTATATTAATAGGATCAATCTGCAATTGTGTTCTCTGTGATCCATCAGGAATAAACACGTAGCATGGGTTCGCCTTCGTCCTTCATCATTGTCATCATCATGGGTTTGTTGCTGGCTTTTGCATGAGAACTCGGTTGGGAATCTGTCACTGCCCATATACACATCTGTTCACATCCTCCACTTAGTGTCTCTCTCTCTCTGTCTGTCTCTCTCTCTCTCTCTCTCTGTCTCACTCTCTGTTTGAAGTCTTGACATGCCTCTTCCTCCATTCCAGTCAGCCTGTGAAAGAATCTGTTGTCATCTATGTATTCCTGCTATTATCTCACGTCATTTCTCCCTGAATGAAAGACAAAGACAGTGTGAAAGCATAAAGAGATATCTGTGAAGCTACAGAAATGACAGCTTGGCAGATTCTGTCAATGTGGGGTTTTTATGTTGTCTGTATTTTTACATATTTTGAAGGTAATTACCCATTTACAAATATTGCTGCGGTTAATTTAACGCATTTTGAAGGAAATGTTCATTTAAGTTTTATTTTATGTGATTGCTTTGTAGATTTAATTTACAATTCCTTTCTTCATTATTAAAATTGATTTATTCTATTATTATTGTTTTACTTCTTCTTCTTCTACTTCTGTTTGAAGACTCAAATTATAGATTTTTTATATTATTTATATTTATATTTTATAAATATTTTTATTATTATTATATATTTTTTATGTTATAAGTATTATAGACTTTGGCTTTGTAGATTTAATTTACAATTCCTTTCTTCATTATTAAAATTGATTTATTCTATTATTATTGTTTTACTTCTTCTTCTTCTACTTCTGTTTGAAGACTCAAATTATAGATTTTTTATATTATTTATATTTATATTTTATAAATATTTTTATTATTATTATATATTTTTTATGTTATAAGTATTATAGACTTTGTTTAGGTTAAGTTTGAGTTTGAGTGATGGATGGATGGATGGATGGTCCATCCCCTTCCTAAAATGTAGAGGCAGCTTATGAAGGCAAAACAAATTACTGAAATATTATCTTAAAATATTTACAATTACTGAATTATAAAAGGAACATTTGCTTCCTCTCAAATAAATAAACAACACATTATGACTGCGTATGTGGTTTGGTATATTATAAAATACTTTTTTATTTTGTAATCTGGCATGCAAGCTGGTTAGTAAAATCTGCTTTTCTTTTCTTTTCTTTTTTTTAACCTGCAGGTACTTTGTACTACATAAGCTGACAAATCTGAAGTTCCTGGACACCAGGAAAGTGACCCAGTCAGAGCGGTCAGAGGCTAAAGCACGTGGAGCTTTCATGAAGGTGGTCAAGCCGAAAAATGACCAAGTAAGTGCTTTGATTTTACTAGAAAGACCGAGACATATGACACGCACAGGATCAACAGGCAGTTGAGATGCATCCCAGATTTAGATATTTAAAATGGTCTGTGGTTTAGCGTGTTGCCCAGTAGCCGGTTAAGCATCTTTACCTTATGTAATGTGGATGGATAACTACACAGCCTGACCCTGTAAATGATTTGTGTAACCCTCCCCTTTCTGTGCAGATGACTATAAGAACTTAAAAGGCTAAGGCACCGTAAGCTAATCCATCTCACTCCTTCTTAGCTCCCATTGTTTGTTCGTAGCAAATTGTCAGAATCTCTTAAGAGGTTACTTGTACGCAGCTCTTTGAAGACGTGGCCTTTCAATCTCGCCTGGCTGTTTAGAGGAGGGTCTCTTTAATGACCACGACCTGACCTCTTTCTGTATGCATGAGCCCAGATCAAAGTGGACAGCGCCTGTCCGAACGGCCTTGCTTTGCAAGCCGTGACAGTGCTCTCGATCGGACTGACAGCTCATGCTCACGACAGTCACCATCGCTTAATTATCCATCGCGCACACAATTATTTCTCTCTTTAGCTTGTGTTTGAAGGAGGCAGGCAGAATCCTAGTCTTCAAACACATCTCCATTCTCTTCTCATAAACATGGCCTTGTCCCAACTTTTTTGAGATGTGTTGATGCCATGAAATTTTAAATCAACTTATTTTTCCCTTAAAATGATACATTTTCTCAGTTTAAACATTTGATATGTCATCTATGTTGTTTTCTGAAAAAAATATTGAAATGTGAAACTTTTTTGGAATCGGGTTTGTAATTGTGCAGTCATAAAATATTTAACTTGTGGTTGAAACAAGTCTTTATCGTCACTTCTTCCCAAGAGTTAGTGAAGCAAATATGGGTGTGGATGCTCATGTAATTTGATGCAGAGTTTAAAAAGAAGAGAAAGAACAGAATATTTATCGCAGTCAACATTCAGACAAACATTGTTTTGCATGACGCTGAAGTCACTTGTTTTGCTTCAGCATTAAAGTGACAGAATAAGTGAAAACCATGCAATAAGTTAACCTCATTCAGGCATGTTTTTAGTTTGAAGGATATTTTGTTGGTTGGAAAATGAGAAAAGCGGATTGGAGAATGGAAAATAAAGTGTTGTGCAACCTGTCCACTCAAATAAGACAAGACATTTCGGGACATGCCATTTTTAAAGTGATGGAGATGAATAAGTGATCACATGTGAAGTAAGTAAAAAAAAATTCAATAAAACAGTAACATAATGCCACAGTAAATCCTTTTAAGCACGACCATTGAGCAGTTCCAGCATTTAATACTTAGCAGGCACACTGTTGAAATAGTCAACTGTTTTAAATATCTGGGAACCAACATAGTGTTTGTGGATTGTTTTTTTTAAAGTTTTACAGAGTTTGCATCCAATCCAAATGTTTACTCAAAGTAATCCAGAACATTTTAGAAACCGTGTTAATCTTTTACAAAGCATTCTGTCTTTCAACATGGTAATTGTATAATGCAAACCTGACATTTTACCATTTTTGGAGCAGACAAGTACAGTATTGAATAGGCATTACTGAAAAAGGGCATTAGATGACAATACATTGTTTTATTTTGTATAATTAAACACAAGCCTATCACTGGCCTACAGTCCTCAGTGATCCATTTTGTAATTGAGTTTGTTGCTCTCTCTGAGGTAGATTTAGAGGATGTTCACACAGAACTTGTGTCTGCAGTATTTTAAAGTTTTGGTTTATGTACACATGCAAATGTGCATTTTGACCAGTGCATCATGTTTTGCTTTTTTCTGTATCTAGACCCATGAACATCTAAACATATTACAAATAATTCCTAACATGCAGAGCTGGGTAGATTACTTAAAAAATTGTAGTCTGTTACTGATTACAGATTACATGAGGAAAACTGTAGTTAGTAACTTAATCTAGGTTACTGATTTTAGGTAATGTATTCTGAGTACTTTTTAGATTACTTCATCTGCCCTGTACAGTGAAAACCGGGATTCATCCGTGAAGAGAACACCTCTCTAAAGTGCCAGACGCCACTGAATGTGAGCATTTGCCCACCCAAGTCGGCTACGACGACGAACTGCAGTCAGGTCGAGACCCCGATGAGGACGACGAGCATGAAGATGAGCTTCCCTGAGACGGTTTCTGACAGTTTTTGCAGAAATTCTTTGGTTATGCAAACCGATTGTTGCAGCAGCTGTCCGGGTGGCTGGTCTCAGACGATCTTGGAGGTGAAGATGCTGGATGTGGAGGTCCTGGGCTGGTGTGGTTACACCTGTTCTGCGGTTGTAAGGCCGGTTGGATGTACTGCCAAATTCTCTGAAACGCCTTTGGAGATGGCTTATGGTAGAGAAATTAACATTCAATTCACGGGCAACAGCTCTGGTGGACATTACTGCACTCTCCCTCAAAACTTGCGACATCTGTGGCATTGTGCTGTGTGATAAAACTGCACATTTTAGAGTGGCATTTTATTGTGGCCAGCCTAACATATAATTTTTTTCAATAACGGTGATATGATTTTTAAACACATTTCCGATATTTCGATATACATTACCAGTGTTTCCATACATTGATTTATTTGTGTTTTATATGAATGTATCTCTGAAGGGAACCGACTGTCTTCAGAATAGTTTAGATGGCATTTTTATCTGATAAAGTAGCGTTCATGAGTGGAGCTGCTTTGTTTACAGCCGTTACTGGAGAAACCGTTAGTTCCACCGCTCTCACAGCGCCTCCTGCTGGTAGACAAGCAGTTTGCATTTTCAATAATAAACTCATTTCCAGCAACATGATTTTGTTATTGCTCTATTTTTTAGTTTTCTGAAGCAACTCGGAGCATGTTTCATACTCGTTATCCTGGTTAATGCACGTTTCAATCTATAAGAATAATCAGCCTAAACTACCAGTCAAGATTTTTAATGTTTCTTAAAGAATTATCTTCTGCTCACCAAGCCTGCATTTATTTGATCCAAAATGCACCAAAAGCAGTAACATTTTGAAATATTATTACTATTTAAAATAACTGCTTTCTATCTGAATATATTTTAAAATGTAATTTATTCATGTGATCAAAGCTAAATTTTCAGCATCATTAGGGCTACTCCAGTCTTCAGTGTCACATGATCTACTCCGCTGTTTTCAACATCATTATAAATGTTTTTTGAGCAGCAAATCAGAATATTAGAATGATTTCTGAAGGATCAAGTGACTGGAGTAATGATGCTAAAGCTCTGCTTTGAAATCGCATTAATAAATTATATTTTCAAATAGAAAACAGTTATTTTAAATAGTAAAAATATTTCAAAATGTTACTGCTTTTGCTGTATTTTGGATCAAATAAATGCAAGCTTGGTGAGCAGAAGAGAATTCTTTAAAAAACATAAAAAATCTTACTGTTCAAAAACTTTTGACTGGTATGTTAGCCTATAGTTTGAAGTAGAAAATATTAATATTAATATAAATAAGGAGAGTCTGAGATTTATTTGACAGTGATTTCACATTTCTTGTTTGTATGAAGGCTAAATACCAATAAAAGGTGAACATTTATTTATTTGCGCCATTTTTTTCCAAAAATATTATATAGTTTTATAGGAGTAGGTTTCATAGAGTTGGCAAATTAATTTTTCATAAGTTTGTAGGTACAGACATCTGTTGTGGCCGTTCTTGGCCGTTTTTATGAGGCTTTTTTAATAGTGTTCATCTCGATATCAGAATTATATCGTATCGACCGAAATTAAGAAATATATCGTAATATAAATTTTGGCCATATCGTCCAGCCCTAGGCACACCTGTGCAATAATCATGCTGTCTAATCAGCATCTTGATATGCCACACCTGTGAGGTGGATGGATTATCTCAGCAAAGGAGAAGTGCTCACTAACACAGATTTAGACAGATTTGTGAACAATATTTGAGAGAAATAGGCCTTTTGAGTACATAGAAAAAGTCTTAGATCTTTGAGTTCAGCTCATGAAAAATGGGGGCAAAAACAAAAGTGTTGCGTTTATAATTTTGTTCAGTGTAAGTATTTTAATCATTTATGTTCATGTAGATAACTAATGTTAACAAATAAATGTAGAAATTAATATTGGCTTAGATTAGTAAATTCATTGTTAGCTCATTGTACCTGATAAATGTTAAGAAGGTAAACCTGATTGTACAGTGTTAAAGTTTCTAAAGTCTGAAAGTCTACAGTAAAAAGACAAGAATATCTCTGGCCTGTCCACTGTCAGACACTTGAGCAGATTAAACAGACTCTGTTGTAATGCTGCAAGGCTTCTGTCCTCTCCGCAATAACTGCTATTGTAGAGGCCTAGTGAGAGTGAGAAAGTTGGCCATGCTCTAATGTCCCATGTCTGTGCCTGGCGCAGCTGTCACGCCAACGTTAGCCTAGCATTTGTTTTGATTTAGATGAGACATGATGTGGCAGCCATAACAAGCTCTGTGGGGCATGTGTACTCTCTGTCTCTAATTGGCTTCATCATCATGCCGATTGTCTACTGACCAATAGTGCAGGTCACCAATTAATGAGCACCAGCGACGAGTGAGAAGATGATGGCATAATTAGTTATTTGTGTTTGCTTTTATTCTTCATCCAGTGGGGTGTCTTACGTTTAAAGACATGCTGGCGTTAACATTGTTACAGAAGACTGTAATTAGCTCTTCCTGCTTTCCAAATTTCCCATCAAACCGGAGTCCTGTACTGACAGCTTGCTGTTGTAGCATTGTGGTAGTCTTTGAATGTCTCATCTATGCCTGTCTCTTAGGTCTTACCCACTGTTTCCGTTCAGTTTTGCACGTTTACAGAAAGAAAGAAATATATGAATATTTATGCTTTATTTATTAATATATGCTAGTGTGACTGTGTGAGTGTACTATGTTATAGAGTGTTAAACGACATACATAGATGTAAATGATTATTGAAGATTTAGGAAACAATTTCAAGGTTTTTTTTTTTTTTTTTTTTTGCTG